CTTCTGCTCACTTACCCCTGATTTCTACTGACATTTTATCTTATGTCAATATGTATATGTATGAAGGCATACACAAACATAAACACTTATACATATACTCAAGTCTATTCCTATTCTATGTCTATAGTGGAGGTCTCCTGAGGTAGCTGCCTGATTCACCATATAGGAGGGTACTTCAAAAAGTTCATGGAAATACAGAATTAAAAGATAATATGAATCTTTTCTTGAACTTTCTGAATTACCCAAGTATTTATTCAATAAGTATTTTGTCCACTGCTAACGTTGGTGGCAAAAGGGGACTGTGGATGTCTTCTCAGGATTTCTAAATATTCTTCACTCTGAAGCAGGTGCATAAAGATGGACAAAAACGCCCCAGCCACACTACTAGCGCTTGCTGCACGAGGTCTACTGAGTAATGAGCGTGCAGCTATCCATGCCCTTGAAGAGCTCCCGAGCGGCTTGTTTGCTCCGTTGTTCACTGCCGCCTTCTTGGGCGGTCATAAGAAGGTACTGAAGGCAATGGTGAGGATTTGGCCCTTTCCCTGTCTCCACATCGGGACATTGAGTGTACGGGAGTCACAATATGACAATTTCGAAGCTATGATTGACGGTCTGCAGATCCTGCCTGCCCGGGACTCTTCTTCTTGGTAAGACTATGTATAATAGAGACATAGTGAGTCAGCAGGAGGGTATGCTGGAGCCTGGGGAAGGAGAGGGCCGAACAGTCTTTCAAAGGTCATTGATGGTGAATGCTGAGGATCTCTGTGAGGCTGTTGGTGGAACATTTGGGGTCACCTTAAGGACTCTAATATCTGACAGAGTTCATTATGGAGCAGAAGGGATTGAGGATACTGTTAATAGATTTGCCTCCTGGGTATGATTACATGGAAAAAGGACATGGGCATTGAGACTGGGATCATCAGGAGAGAAGAAAAGATGGGGAAAAGAAAGAAAGGTGCTAAATTTTTATGGAAAAGGCCTTCTTGGTAAATGGTGTATGGAGTGAAGACCAGGGATAAAGGGATTTTGTTTCAGCTTCCCATCATTGATCCTGCTGGGTTGTATTAAAATCAGCTACCTCTCAGATATTCTGTCTCCTCCTCTCCTTACAGGGGGCAAATACTGAGGATTCTAGATTTAAGGCAGGACCCAGGCTGCAGGACCACATGCTCTGAGATCAGCACCACATTCCCTTTCTGTTTTCGTTCATGTCTTCACTCTCAGCACTCTATCATGAAACTAGAAGAAGCCCAAAACAGAGTTCGGTGCCTCGAACTTGTAAATTCGGACTCTGAGCCTCAGTCATCCAGGAAACCTGTGGAATTATTAGTGGACATTTCCCTAGATGGTACCTTGAGAACAGGGCGATTTCTTTCTTTACTTCGGAATAAAGTACAGCAGAGCTTTGGGTCCTTGCACCTCTGCTGCAGAGCTTTGCAAATTCATGGAAGGCTTGCCCACGAACACATCCTGCAGCTTCTGAATATGGGATGCATTGGTCACCTTAAAGTGAATGAGATTTATCTGAGTCAAGTCACCACCCTTTTGGCTCAGATGACCCACCTCCACAGCCTTAGTTTGTCTCACATCCCTTTTACCACAATCTCATTGAATCTATCGTATAACTTCGTATAATGTATGCTATACGAAGTTATTACGCTCTGAGATCAGCCCCACATTCCCTTTCTGTTTTCGTTCATGTGTTCACTCTCAGCACTCTATCATGAAACAAGAAGAAGCCCAACACAGAGTTCGGTGCCTCGGAATTGTAAATTCGGAGTCTGAGCCTCAGTCATCCAGGGAACCTGTGGAATTATTAGTGGACATTTCCCTAGATGGTACCTTGAGAACAGGGCGATTTCTTTCTTTACTTCGGAATAAAGTACAGCAGAGCTTTGGGTCCTTGCACCTCTGCTGCAGAGATTTGCAAATTGATGGAAGGCTTGCCCACGAACACATCCTGCAGCTTCTGAATATGGGATGCATTGGTCACCTTAAAGTGAATGAGATTTATCTGAGTCAAGTCACCACCCTTTTGTCTCAGATGACCCACCTCCACAGCCTTAGTATGTCTCACATCACTTTTACATCTTGTATGAGGAGAAGCTTTGGGACTGTTCTCACCCGTCTTAGGCAGATGAACACCCTTCAGCAGATCCGTTTGTCTTCCTGCCGCACGCATCCGCTTCATGAACTGCTCAGGTGAGGAGTTGGGGAAAGACCTGGGTTCCCTGAACCACCCCGTTGTTAAGACAGGAGAGCAACCATTCTTGGATATTCCGACTCTCCTTGTAATCCATTCCTCCTTCCACCTCAATATGGGTACTGCTGGGAGTATGAAACTGGCCATGCTAGAGAAACTAGAAAAATAAGGTGTGATCATTCATTCATTCAGTCAGTCACTGGACCATATGCAGACACCATGATAAGTCTGTAGATACATTGGTGAAAAAGACACAGTCCTTCTCCCGTTGGAGTTTACAGCCTTTAAGGGAGGAAGGGGAGACCTTTAGATGGGGAAATGTTTTATGCTGTAGCACTGATGCACCTCATCATGGTCTGGCCAGAATAGTTAATACTGTCAGATCATTTTGCTCCTGTATTTTACCCAAGCGATAGGCCCTGAATCGANATCTCTGTGAGGCTGTTGGTGGAACATTTGGGGTCACCTTAAGGACTCTAATATCTGACAGTGTTGATTATGGAACAGAAGGGACTGGGGATACTGTTAATAGATTTGCCTCCTGGGTATGATTACATGGAAAAAGGACATGGGCATTGAGACTGGGATCATCAG